TTTTTGTAATTCTAAACCTTGGGGCATGATTTTTTATTTTGGGATTGTTGACATACAAAAAGTGTAGCCCAAATCGAGTAGCCCAAGGGATGAAACCCATTAATGAATGCAATGGAGGCCCCACGAACAAGGTACCATCATCGCCCAAACTTGTAAGACGCCCAAGATCTGAGCGAGTGGAATGCATTAAAATCGCCAGAGCGAATGAGCATATTCTCGCCCAAACCTTCGAATCGCCCAAGATCTTAGAAAACACGTGGTATTATGGTTATTCAGAACAACAGTTATTGAAGCGGTTATTGAGCAACCTTATCACACCCCGCGATCCAAGAATCACAGTTGTAGGCGTTTGAACGACGAGAGTAATGGCAACAATTAGAGATGGCAGTTCCATGAAAAGTCAACCATCATGAAGAAAGTGGGTAGTTATAGAGCAATCAGGCAGTTTCCAAGTGGTTTGTCATGAATGAATTATCTAGGAAGTATAAAAAGGAAGAGAAGATATAGAAAAAACGACCCCGAATCAAACATTCTAAACAGAGAATATGTATTTTCAATTTGTTAGTTTAACTTTAAACATTTCTTTTAGTACTCGTGTGCTTGTGCCCTTTAGAGGCATTTTGTTTATTTCCAATTGTAAATCGTCGCCAATAAAACACCAAATTTTGAGACTTTGTCTCAAGAGATTTGTTTTTTACACAATCGTCTGAATCATTTTTTAATTGTTAGCAACAACTCGCGCGAAACAGGGATAGATAAAGTCTGAGTCGTGAACTTTTCCCTTTGATCAAATCCATGAATTATTCTTATCGGATCGGATTGGGCCATATCCGATCCATTTATAGCTTAGTTTCTAGATTGCAAATAAAATGAACAATGAAGTGATTAGTAAAGGGAGTTATCGATTTTTTTTTTTGCTCCGTCTCCTTAACAGGTTTGGAGATTTCCGTAGAAAATGGTGATGGATTTTTGGTAATTTATGTGGATTTTCCATTATTAATGTTGATAAAGATGAAAGACTTTAATTAAGGGTTTAATAATGGGGTACTTACAAAATACCCTTAANTTAATCATTTTCTAATTTATTTAATGGGTCAAAATAGCCAGTATTACCTTGGTACTTACGAAAATACCCTTAAAATTAGGGATGTTTTGAAAAATCATATGAAAAGTTTTTAAAAAGTAAAAACTACTGTGTAAAATGAAAAAAATGACACAATGTCACTTTTTTTTTTTAATAAAAATTACAACTTTTTTACTTTTTAAAAAAAAGTGATACAAACTCAAAAAAGTGACAAAACTAAAAAAAAGTGACGCACACTCTCAAAAAGTGATACAAACTCAAAAAAGTGACACAAACTAAAAAAAAGTGACGAATACCAAAATAGCACCATCCATTTGTGCAGCACCAGTAATCATGTTCTTAAAATAATCAGTATGTTCAGGTCAATTCACATGCTAATTATGTTAGGAAAATATAATATATTATTTCACTTTTTTTTTTATCTTCTTAAAAAGTGACAAAAATCTAAAAAAAGTAACAAAATTTTAAAAATCACATATGGAGGAACGTAGGCTTGAATATGCTTCCTCCTAAATTGTCATTCAATTCATGCAAATTGAGAGATACAATGACATGTGAGTGT